GGGCTCAGGCTCGAAGGTTTAGTTGGTCATGTGATGAGTAAGAATACGCCGTGACTGGTGTTGTAGTGTTTCATACATACAGTATTCACCCATTGCCACTGCGGCTCTACTGTGATTCTTTCGGACGCATGTAGAACAACATGAGATTATTACGAGAATACCTCAAAGTATGCACGAAGACAGTACAGCGCGCGAAAGTATCGACCAACACGCAGCGGAGGTCGATGTGACGGCGTACTGTCACAAGAATGCTCGAGTTTAGATTCATATTGATCGTCTTTGGAGGTGTATTTTTAGCTCCATGGTAATACATAGTATGTATTTTTATCATTTTGCATTACAATACATGTACATTACATTTTAAATCGCGCCCTCAGGCGAGAAAACTCTACTGGGACGAAAATATGTTGTATGAAAGGTCTTCACAGAATCAATAATGTGTACATCCGTACAACAAATTGTGTTTTTGAAATGTTACTATATTCTAAATGTGAAGTGACTGCCCAACAAATCAAATCAAATTCGAACGTCATTTTTTACACTCATCTATGTCTTACTGAATTCTCACAACTCTTTGCCGAAGCACGACTTACAGAATGGGTGAATTCTATTTCCATTGCAAGCATAGCAGTTTACCGCGAATTGTCTGAATTTCATTTGAATTCATTTCCATTATTCTTTCATTGTACACAGTTACCAACCTGATTTCTGGACAGATTATATACCGTGACGTTCCAATTCAACAGCAGTGCCCCTCGTGTCATCAACACATTGTCACAAGAATGGACTACGAGTTCGGTTTGTTGGTCTGGCTCATTGCAGGACTCATCTGTATAGTGGGGTAGGTCATACTAGGTTACACTAATTTTATTTCATAAGCTTCGCCATTACTCATAGACCGTGGTCATCATCCATGCAGAACTGATTGGCCTTAATTCTCCAACTTAAAGCCTCCACTGATATCTGCCGTTGATGGCGTGGTTGGGGTCCCAAAACAAGTTTGCTGCTAAAAATAATACTGATATAGACAAGCCACCCCGTGGAGGTAAACCAATGTTGCTGATGTGTGTTTGCAGAGGTGTAGGTTAGAATTGGGGACATATCATCAAAACAAAGAGGTTCTAGCCCATTTACATTAAGACGCAATTTACAATGATATTATATAAGCCTTATCCGTCAGCATGAACTAAATTCAGTGTTATTTTTTTTCAGAGGCTGGTTGGGATGTTGCTTGATTCCGTTCTGCATCCCGGCTCTCCAGGACGTCACCCACCACTGTCCGAATTGCACCACCTACTTAGGCCGATACGATCGTGTGAATTAAACGTGGCTGTCAACACGTGGCCGTCAACACGTGGCCGTCAACAAATCTCTTTACAAATTAAGCTTATATATGAGTGGCATTCATCTATAAACAATTATTCTTATACTGCTTAAAATACTTGATAAACGTTTCAAAATTTGCGATAAGTATTCGACCTTTAGATTTGTTACGTGTCCCTTGGCGTAACGTGTCATGGGACACTGAACACGTATGAGTGTGCTCCATCGAAATGATTCACGTGACTTATATAGCGGATGTTTTATATATATAATTGTATTGAAAATATATATCAAATGATTTCTATTTACATAATTGTATTTCTATAAAGCAAGCATAAACCACTGATATGATATGATATTGTATTATTATATTTTCACATATTAATATACCGTATGACCCCCCCCCCTCACACACACGTCACTGTATCAATGGCTAAACTTAAACTTAAAATCAAAGAAAGCTTAGAAAGAACTCCCATGTGCTGAGAGTATTGGAGACACATTAAATATAATTCGAAATTACTTAGCTGAAAACTAATTATGCAAATCAGAAAATTAATATGACCAGATTTGAGTGTAAAACTAATGAGGTCTGCGCAATGTAACAGAAAATCTATGTCTCCAAGTTTAATTGAAATGTGATTAGAACCAAAAAATTATGAATTATTATGCTTATTAGGAATTAATATGAACAGATTTTTACCCCAAACTAATTTAGTTTGTACATTGTCCTAGAGCATCTTTGTACTAAGTTTCAT